GTTTTTGTAAATTATTGAGACTTTAGGAAGCCTTTGTTTGTTATCAGCGAGGACTATATCAAGAAGAGTATATTCATAATTTGGGTTGGGAGGTTTGGGAGGAGGACCTCCCTCCTCCTTGTTTTTTCCTTGAGACGAAATTTTGTTTTCTTGGATATTTCCTAATTTGGTAGTTTTGATACGATTAGGAAAGAGTTTTGAAAGATCTTTATAAAAGTTGTTTTTATTAATAAAATAAAATGTTTAATATATAATATTTTTTTATTTTATTTTTTTTTATTTTAGTTGAACAGCATTAGATGCAAGTCTTTATTGATATTATATATCTGTTACAATATATCAAACATCTTTTGTAATGGTTACACTACAGCTTAATGCTAGCTTATCAACTGTTTTTGTCCGTTAATACTAATATAACACTCTTGAAGTATTTTTTCATATCTTTGGGGGGACCTATTTAGGGAAGGAATTTCTACCACTAGTTTAAACCACCTAACCTACTGGTCTAATTTTTATGTGAGAACAATGGGGTACTGCTAGTTATCCTTATAAGTAACTTATTGCACCACACTTTTCTGATACTCAATTATTATGGCAGAGGGGTCTTCACGTTCATCTGTACTCCCTAGTGAATATTCCGAACCCTTTTATTCTCTGGTTGGCTATTAGCTATCAAACCTAGGGATCTTTTTTGACCAATTGGGATGCGAATCCGCAGGAACCATACAGGCCAGACTGGTGTGATCACCATGCTCCCAAGGTTCCTGTTTTCTAGTAGACATATCTAGAGGCTGGTTGACGTTGGCTGCCAAATCTAGGGGCACAAATGCTAAGCAGGATGCAATTCCTACAGATACGGTAAGCTATTAGAGGTCCATGTCACACAGTATGTCAATGCCAGGAGAGCATGTTCCTTCAAAGTTGCTTTATTCAGAAGCTGGCAGAATAGAAATATCGCTCAGATTAGTTAAGATGAAGCACAGTCCAGTCTGTGTATCCAAATATATGATTGGTTTAGGCTACTGTCAGATGATCATCAGACCACTTCTGGACGATCATTCTGTCACATGCCTTTCTTGGAGATCACAATCCCAATGTCTCACTGGATCAGCGTACGAATGACTTCTCATGGGAAACAGGGCTTAATAGGTTATATCTCCAGATATTATTTTTAATTCAGTTCAATTTTCTTTACTTGAAATTGAACTAATATCTTGTGATCTGACTTGTGGAGTGTTAACCATTACACTATAGACCCATAGGTCTTTAATATATAATAATTATTTCTATTTAATTATAATAATTTTTGTGTAGTCCTTTATTTATTGAAGGGTGTATATATATTTATTATTTTATATATTGTTAGTGATAAAAATTTATGATTAAGGCCATGTAACATGACTTTCATATTATGTGACTAATTGACATATTGGTGATTGTCTAGTAAATACTGTAGTATAATAATATACTAAAAAGTTTAAATAAATTATTTTTATAGTACAATAGTTTATGAGTTATAGCAAGATAGTTATATAGCATATTAGAATAGCAATAGACATATAAATAAGAGTAAAAAAGTATGAAAAGCAAAAGACAATCTAGATGAAAATCTTAATTTTAATCTTAAAAATAATAATCTTAATTAATATTTTTTCTTATTAAGAAAGAAAGTACAAAACAGTTGTGCAATATTGAAGTATTAATTAAAAATTGCTATATATGGTGGTAATAAATACATCTCAAATAAAAAGTGATTAATTAACTTACCTTTCTAGAGTAATATTGTCATAAGAAGATTGTTCTGGAAGTCATCAAAAAGGATAATAACTTGAACTATTTAGGAAAAGTAACAAGAGAAAGAAGAAAATTAATTATGGTTTCAAGGTTACCTAAATTAAATTCATATCTCAAATAAAAAAAAGAAGAATAATCTATCCCAATGTTATGTAAGTTTGACGTGCTATAAGCAATAAACTCACCAAACCCATATCAATAATATATAGAATTAATATTGTCTAATAACTATTTCTAGTACCAGCTAATTTAATTATCTTTATAATTTAACTATGTATACTTATATACAGAAAATAAATATACAAAATAAATAAAATTTATATATATAGAAATAGAAATTTTATTATTGGTTTTGAGTTATTTTTTTGCATATTCAAGCTGTAATTGTATTTGTTATAAAAGAAAATCACATAAAATATTATTATAAAGATTTATACTAATTATACCAGTTATTTATTATTATTAATTCTTAAAATATATTACTAGAGTAATGCAATACTATTATTTTACTACTTGTAAAATTAGTATTCTTGTTTAAAAAATATTTTAGTCTTGTATAGTTCTTATTAAACATATTTGACTTAGCAATTTTTGTCTAAATTTGTATTTTTATAGTTAACAATTTTACTTTTCAATCTATATTTTTAAGTTCTTGTGAAATACTAATATTGTAATATATTTAATAGCTTCAAACTGAAATAAATTGACTTGGAATTATTTTTTTTAATAGTGTAATAGAGTTTGCTATTTATAGTTTAGATTTAAGTTGATAAATTTTTATAAAGTTAGATCAGAATTCTTTTCTTATACAATCTTTTTAACTTTAATATGTTTTTAATATATGAGTATTGAAAAAACCAGAGGCCTTATTTTTATGCAATCTAATTGAATTTGATTGTGATATGAAAGATATTAAGTAAACCTATATATAAATAATGATGTATTTTTTGCTTTCTGTGAATATCAAACTAAGAATATGCATTTGGAAATCTAAAAACACTATTCACTATACTATAAATCACAGATCTGCAAGTTCTGCTATTATACTGCAATTGATAATTATATAATCTTAAAAAAAGTGTTTATATATGATATAAAATAAATATACTGTATATCTGTATAATATAGTGAATAATTTTAAATTGAAGCTTTATATATATATATACATATATTATATATTATATATAGTATATGGTTTATTATATTTCTAAATGATTATATATTTCAATTTTATCACTTAGATTTTAACAAATATTTTCAAAATTCCAACTATTTAATTATTTTATAACTTACTAATAGATTCAATTATCTAAAAAATAAGAAGACAATTAAATATTATCTGGGTCACTTATTTGTTTTTATCTTTTTATAGCAGCAAATATATTGTATTTAAATTAAATAATAATACTTTATTGAATAAAAATCATTATATTAATGAATCCAATATCAGGTATAAATACTGTAGACAGTTAATAATGTCTAATAAATCAAATATACTATATATGTATTTACAACAAATCAAATTGTAAAATATTTAATCGATGCAAAAACCTGATGTCATTTTGATTTTTTATAATATTATTGATTTTTTAGATGAAGTCATTACTTCTTTGCCTTTTATATTTAATCATTTGTTGTTATTATTTTATTTTATTTTATTCGTTACTTGAGTACTTGATCAATTCTTTGTCTTGCCGGAGGTGAATTTCTGTACAACAAACAAATTGTCAAACTCAAGATCAAAATAAAACAAACTGGAATCATAACTCCTAATATAATTTTATTTTTGTTGTTGTTGTTGTTGTTGTCGGAGGATTTTGAATTGGGCGCAATATATTGTGAAACCCAAGTAAAATTTTTGATATCCAATAGATATATTTTGTTAGTTGTATCAGTTGGAGGCCCATTAACGTTGGTGATGTTTCCTAAAGAGAAAAAATATATTTGACAAAAGAATATGGTTTTAAAAATCTCAAATATAAATTAACAAACCAAATGCTAAAATCAAGTAATTTGCATAGAGATGAGCCACGTGAGATTGAAGAGGTGGGCTATCCCCAGTAATTTTAGGGGAAGACCAGGTATATGTGGAAGTATCGAGTATAGCTATAAGTGGAGTTGGTGTCGTGTTATTTTCTCTCCAGGTTTTCCAGCCTCCGTATATAATTATCTTATCATCGTCAGCTTTAGAAAAAAATATGAATATTCGTGAGATGAAAATTATCGAAAAAAAAATAAAAAAACAACTCACTTAGAACCGCGGTATGACTTGAACGAGGTTCAACAAGTGAGCCTGTCGCTTGCTGGAAATAAAATAGGAAAATGCATTCATATTCTTAAAGAAACCTGAATATAAGAAAATACTGTAATATTGTATAGTAAACTTGTTTACTGTACTTTAGAAGACCACATATTTGTATTTGTGTCATAAAGATAAATCTAAATAAATAAATAAAATAACAAATAAGTATTTTTTTCATGCACAAATTTCGAGTCACCTCAATATTCTCGCAAGGAATCTAGAAACATACCAGATTTATATCAATTGGGACGGTTTCATTTTGCTCTTCTACTCCACCCAGGATAACGATTATCCCATTTTTGAGTAGAGTTGCAGTATGATGAGCTGAAAGTAAATTAACGTTTGAGTTTGGTTGATTTTACTCTTATGATAAAAAGAAATGGACTTTTGGAGAACCTCTCGGCTTGGGACTATCGGGCAAACTTCCTCGAAGATCCCAACTTAGCAAGTCGGGATTAAATAGAGCAACATCATTAAATAACGTAAAATTCAGGCCCATTAGAATATCTTGGCGGCCTCCAAAAATCCATAATTTTCCTATACTTTTAACAAATATCATTGTCGATGCTCTTCGATTCTGAGGTTGCGTGCCTGAAACAACGGGAGCCACTATCGAAGTGGGTATTGTGTTAAATTTATAAAGTAAACTAGTGGTATCATTTACAAGATGCGTCGTTAGGTTTTCTTTTATTCCGCCAAATAAAAATATACTCTCGAAGTTGCCAACTGCTGTAGCGGCGGAGGAAATACCATAAGGGAAGGATGAAACATTTATCCACGGGGGGTTATCCACGTAAAAGCTCTCGGACAGGTTCAATAAGAGTATTTGGTTACTAATCCTGAATGTTCTGCTTGAATCGGGAACACGGCCACCAATGAAGTAGATTTTATCATCCACCAAAGCGGATGGGGAATCAACCATTGGTTCTGGGACAAAGGAGGAGACATTCCATGAAAATATTATTATTAAAAGAAAAAATATCTCACAATTTAAGTAACTTTTAAAGAACATTTTAGTAATCGTGGTTATTTGGATCAATTTATGAATTTGAACGTATTCATTTGTCGAGAGAATTTATAGTAGAGTTTCTTGTACAACTTTTAGTACGTAACTTTTTTTTTATTATTTAGCCTTGTCTAAGCTATGATATTATTTAATTTCTGCATTTAAAGAAATTCATTTGTTTATGAAGGTACAAATATCCAAATATTTCTCTAGAACGATAGCTATTATTATCAACGTAAAGGGACTTATTGGCAAATATGTTATATATAGTAATTTAATTTCGCGAACGTGTTCTTAAGAACAAAGAAAATCTCTGTTATGTAAACAAGATAGTTCATGCAAACTATTTCTATACACGACGTGAAATTTTCTGTTTATTTATTTGAGGTAATGATATGGTATATTTACAATACTGTACTGGAAATAAGCAGTTGCACTAAATTTTAGAGACAATGGTTTAATGTAACTTCTAAAACAATCATACGACTAAATTTGTGTTTATAATGAATGGGTTATAATTAGAACAAATATAGGAGCTGTGTTTCTGTTTTTTTTTGATTTTTGATATACAATATTTCTCTCATAGGAAAGAGACTCATCAAATAAAACAATGACATGAATCATGATAAGAGGATTGGAGGCGTGAATCATGTGCTGTAGGTAATATCTCACTGAAATTTCCAAAATAATTTTATTTATGACTTTGTAGGTTATCAGAATAGAGCATTTAATGTCAAGCAAACAAAACGCGCTTGACGTTTTGATTTGTCATATAATGTGCCACCAAATGAGCATTTGTCTGTTCAGAAACCATGTTCCAGGAGTTATTTCGGAGTGATCTTGGCAAGATTTAATTTATGATTGAATTTTATTACTGACAATAGACATTAGTCGAATGCATTGTGTTTGTTATGAAACTAGATCATTGAGCAGATGAGTTAGGCTTGGCATGAGAACTGAGTCAATGAAGCAGAGATTTATTTCCAAAAATAAGAGACAGGGTGGATTTCCCCTTACTTATACGATGCACCTACTGCATTGGGCGTCACCTGTGCAACATATGTACAAGCAAATATACAGTACAGTATGTGAAATTTCCGGATCATGAGACATATAGACATGTGACCGACTTTATTATTGACAAAATCGCTGCGAACTGTATTAAAGTTTCATGAAATTATCATCACTTAAATATAATATGAGTTATAATTATGCATATATAAATAAATTATGTTTAGTAATAAAAATTTTAAATTTGGAATGGTTTTTAAAAAAATAATAGATTATTAACCCATTTTTTTTAATTGGATTTGTAAAATACACAGTATGCTGTATTGATTTGATTTTTGCGTTTAGATGCAATAATTTTGATATTGATGTATGTTTTGTACTTTAAATTAAAAAGGCAGAAAATAGTGAAGATAATATGTAAAGTCTTTTTTTGAAAAAGTAAATAATAACGAAGAATCTTTAATTTGCAAATCACATTATAAAATTTTTTAATATTATAATTAATAAATCAAATAAAATATATAGTGTGTAACAAAACTTTTTTAAATTTTTTATTTATTTGTTATTCAAAAGCTATTGCATAAAAATTAATAAATAACATATAAAAATAAAGCTTAGAATCTAGAAATTATAATAATATAAATTTTATATAAAACTATTTTTTAAAATTTTTTAAAATTAATTTTTGAAATTAATTAAAATTTTATTTTATAACTTTATAAATTTTAATTCAATAAATTTAAAATTTTTTTAATTTAAATATAGATATTATTTTCTTTTTAAAAATTTTTTTTAATAATTTTTAATTTGTAATTTTTTTGAATTTTTGAATTTTAAAGCCTTTTTTTTATATTAAAAATAAATATAAAATTCTATAACTTCATAAATTTAAATACAATAAATTTAAAAATTAATAAATAATAAACATAATATTATATTTTTTTAATAAAAAAATTTTTATTATATACTGAATACTATATTATACTATTGTAATATAATTGAAAGTCTGTTTTAAAAGTAACTAAAATTTATATAATAATTAATAAGTATTAATAGTGTTTTAATAGTGTTTTAGTAAATGTATTAACCAATTTTTTATTGATTTTTTCTTTCTTATAAATAAACAATATTACTTTATTAATAATATATATTTATATATAATTTATATATAAAAAAGTAACAATATCTCTTGACCTGTGGATCTATAGTGTAGTGGTTAACACTTCACAGATCAAATCACAAGATATCAATTCAACCTTATATGAGAACAGTTGAATAGAATTAATATAATACCTGGAATTATAATCTATAAAAGTACTGTTTCTCATGAGAAGCTATTTTATATACTGATCCAGTAGATGTTGAGATTGTAATTTTCAGAAAAGATGTTGTGATGCAACAATTATCTGATTGGCATTATAATAATTGATTTCAAGTTTGATACATTCACTAGTTTCTAAAAAAGACAATTTTTTCTCTCTATAGTTCATGAAACTATAAAAGAAACAAGTTTTTTTAAGAACCTAACTAGAGTTATAAGATTTCTTTTTGCTAGATATAATTAGTTCATGACTGGTCATATTAAAATATAGTTCTTTGAGTTTCTATTTATCAAATAGTAAGTAGGACTGAAAGATGCATATTCTAACACATTGGCATTTTATTTATACTATTAGGGCACTGGTATTAATAATATAGAAAAAATAAAAAGCAATAAGCCAATAGACAATTAGAAATATCTTAGCTTAGGTAGTTTTATCAGATTGACACAGTAAAAAATTTGTATAAAAAGGAATTTATATATACTAAACCTATCAATATCTAATAAACAAAGTGTATGCCAGTTATTAAAAAAAAAAAGTAATAATATTTCTTAAAAATAAAATAAAAATTATTATTATAGAGTTAAATACTAACTTGTTTATAAAAGTTATCTAAATAATATAGAAAATAAATATTAAAATTTATATAATTTCTGAAATAATATCAAACACCTATTAATACTTATCTAGAAATATTATAAAATAAATTATTATAATTTAAAATTAAAAATTTAAAAAAAAAAAAACTCTTTCCCGTAAATCATTTTTTACCTGAAAATTTCCTTATTTGGTAATAGTCTTTCCAAGAAACTTACTT